GGGGGGTGTCCGGCGCAGGGGAGGCAAGGCGGCGAAAGATGCGGAACCTGGCATGGACGCACGGGACACTGGGCCGGCCATCGCCATCATTGAGGCGAGTCAGCCGGACGACCGAGCCCGGTGCTGGCAGGCCGATCGACGAGGATGGAGGGGGCATCGCGGCCGGAATCGGGGAGGTTGGCGAAATTCCAGTCCCCGACGCTGGCATTGGGCTGCCAGTCGGCATGGCAGCCGGGGACATCCTGGGGCCTGGGGGCGGAGCCGCGGCCGGCGACATGCCCGAGCTCGAAGCCGGGCCTGGAGACATGCCTGAACGTGGGGCCGAGGCCGAAGCAGGCCCCGGGTTTGGAGCCGCCACCGGGCCCGAGGCCGGGGGGTAAACTGGAGACATGCCGAGAGCCGAGCCGGAGGCCGGCTCGGAGTTTGGGCTCAGATGGGCCTGCTGGTTCAGCTGCAGGAGGCGACCTATGGGCGTTTGGGCACCGGTGGAGGAAGGGGGCGGCGAACGGGCCACAGAGGCAGCCTCATCGGTGGAATATCGCAACGGTGAGCCGAGCAGCGGGCCGCGGCTGCCGATGGCAGCAGAGTGACCCCCGCGGCTCAGGTGAAGCTGGTGGTAGGGAGATGGTGCACCCGTTAGCAGGGCGGATTCCGCCCGACCCGGCGACGGATACATCATCGAAGGAGTCCCGCCGAAGCCGGGCGTGCTCCGTGAGCCGATGTCCGATGTCGGCGCTGGGCGCAGGGGCGTGGTGCCCGGGGTGGGAGGTTGCGAGTCCATCGGGAAGAGCGAGGGGAGGGTGGTCAAGCTGCCGAAGAAGTAGCCGGGCGAGTCGGCCTGAGGAGAGCCGGGCCCCGGGTGCGGGTGCACCAAGACCGGCGTCGGGTGTGCTTGAGGCATGACACCCGGAGATGTCGGGACAGTGGGGTCCATTTGTGGCAGGGCCGGGGCGAGGGTCCCGGGGTGCGTGGCTGTGGTCACCCTGGAGCCGGGAGAGGACGAGTGGATGACCTGCGGAGAGGCGTGGAGGGCACTGGCGCCGATCGAGGCCCCGGGGGCGGTGGATAGTGGCGTCGTGGTCACCGCTCCCGACGGGGGGTCCAGCGACGAGGAGGAGGGGATCCGGTCATCGTGCGACAAGAGCGGCCGGAAAGACACGGCCACGGGAATGATGTCCGAGGGGGAGAAGTGTCCCGGCACGGGAGCCGCGCGCGTCGGGTCATCGGCTGTCGGAGCTGAAGTGGGGGTGGCGTAGGACCCTGTGGCATTGGTCACGACCCGACCTGCTGGCAGGGGGGAGGACATGGGGTGGCCGGAGGCGGGAAGAACGGAAGAG